CTCTGATATTGATCCTGTAGATTTTCCACAGGCTTCACATGTACCACATTTATGAGTTCCACACCTGATAACAACATTCACACACTCAGGCATTCAAATATTTTATTTTCATGCACTTCTGGCCGCAGTTGTAATAAAACAAATACAAGTCTGTGGTATGAAACAACCCAGAGTCCAGACTTGTCCTTGCTTTATACAACAGCACCCCCTTTCGGTCAGGATATGGAAGCTCCACTCACCCACAGACACACAGAAAAAAAGAGAAAAGTAACCCTTCGCTTCGGCCCCACACAAAGCTCACTCCCCCCTTTTTTTCCTTCTCTCCATTGTTACGTCTCCCTCAATGCCTCCTGGCCTTGAAGCCTTCACACGACATAGAAAACACGGCGCAAACAAAAGTTATTACAATGTCCTAAAACTAATGCGATCCCTGATCACATGAAATTTGGTAAAAGTACCTAAGTCCCAGATTTTTCACATTCCCCTTCGAACTAAACTATTAATTGAGCCCAATTTATGATGCAGTCGACACATCAAACGGAATGCCCGCACCGTAGCCTCCACTCTTGTCCCTGACAAGAGCGAACCTTAATCTCGTCAGATGTAAGGCTTTGATGGCCAGTTCCGCTGAGAAAAAAGGGAAATGTGTCGTTCACATCCGACGTGAACTCCCGGCAGGCCTCGCCTTCCTCCGGCCACAAGTGAAACTTGTGAAACTAACTAAACACTACCTAAACGTCAAAGAAAGCGTTCGGCGCTTAAACTGTCTGAATATCGTAACCCACTTCGTGAGAATTATCACCGGAAGTTAGCTTAAATAAAACCATCTTTATTTCCGGAGATGGCTGCATGCACACCAACAGAGGAATTTGAATTTAGTTTTAATTTGGTTTACGGCCGAATAGCCAGAACTCTGGACCTTAAGGTCCAAACAGTTAACCAGCCTACCTGAAATTAATGGGCCCAGTTCCTCTCTGCGTGTGCACTGCAAGCCACCTCGATCCAATTCAGTCTAGGCCGCGCCTCGCTGCACGTCGGGGTCACCATTCTGTCGTGGCTGGATACCACGTCGTGTTCAAAACAGCTGAGACGTCGCCCTCGGTATAAAAGATTTATTTGACAAAACATGGGTTACAGATATTCAGAGACAAACAATTACATTAATAAGATATATGCATATAAATGGAGCATTAAAGAACGAACCGTATCGGTGTGCGCCTCCCAGAAATGCTCAGGGGGCGTGTGTCATTTACGGCCTTTTATCACAGTTTGAGAAGGCTAGCTTTCTGACTGGTTTAGCTTCTTCAGTTCCCATGGTTACTGGTTTAGCCCGCCCCCTGAAGGACGTTAGTTAAAAGTTTATGGCACACTGAAATCGTTCGTTTTAGCTGTTTGTACCTTAGTGATACCAAATGATTTGAGTTAAAGTTGTTTATTTCTAGGAATAATTAATAACTATTAATTATTATCTAACTCGTGTTTGCGTGTTCTTACTTGATCCTTTTTATACTTCTGTTTTAGTTTAGTTGCTTTGGTTGGATTTTACTTAGTCAAACTATATTAAGTCTAAATTAAAGAGATGTGTTCTAGCTTTATTTATGTTAATCAGTCTGCTATCTGGCATGATTTGATTGCTTGTAATATATCAAATGTGAACTTGTAAAATTATCCTTAACTAATATGAGATTATATTTAAAGGTCAACTAGTTAGAATTAGCAAACATTTTCTATAAATATAGTTCAACCCTGGAAGAAAGACACACACACACACACTTTGTATAACATGACATTTGAATGCTTGATAGGAAATATAAAAAATTTATAAAAATATGAAATCCAACAGTATGCTGTTCAGTGTCAGGAGGGCTGTGATCAGTCTTACATTGGGGAAACTAAACAGCCACTGGCCAAAAGGATGGCCCAGCACAGAAGATCAACATCATCAGGCCAGGACTCTGCGGTCTACACTCATCTCCAGGCCAGTGGTCACTCTTTCAAGGATGAAGATGTTCACATCCTGGACAGAGAGGAACGATGGTTTGAGAGAGGAGTAAAGGAGGCCATCTTTGTGAAAAGAAATCGTCCATCATTAAACAGGGGTGGAGGCCTCCGGGTTCAACTGTCCCCCTCTTACAATGCTGTGATTGCTAGTATCACTCAGCCCTCTGTGAATAGTAAACAGCCATCAGTGTGCTAATGATCCATTGTTAGGCTGATGGTCCTTCTTGAGCATGTGATCAGCTGGTTTTGGTTGTCAGCAGCAAACTGGTTGATCCACTCTGAGAAGGTGCTATTTAAGAGACTGAGCTGAATACAGCACCTCAGACTGAGGAAGTCTCTCGGACGAGAGACGAAACGTTTCTACATTTTTTTGCTTTGTTTTGTTTTTTGTTTTTTTGAATGTCCAGAGGACCAGATTGAACTTTTTTGGATGTTCTGTATATTGTTTTGCACTATTAGTGTTTAGCATATTCTTAGTTTATATCTTAGATCCTTATTTACTGTTTCTTTTGACACTTTATATTTTTGCTATTGTTGGATGTAACTCGGACCCTGTGTACACAATTTCCTTCTACCTCATGTGCCACATGTGATGAAATGACAATAAAACCTACTTGAACTTGAACTTCTACCACCATGACAAAAATGTAGGAGTTACTGTGCCTCCTAGATTTGCATTAAATCTGTAATTTTAAACGAGGTCTGAACAGGTTTTTTTCCATCATATACTGCAAAAAAAATCAGTAGTGCTGATTCCTATGAAATATTTTTTAAACAAAGAATAATGTTATTCACAGATTTACAAGTCCTGATAATTAATAGAGCTATTGCATAAGAGCAGAAGCACCTTTACTTCTATTCTTCTGTTTCCATCAGAATTTTTGATTTGTTCTGCCCACAGATTTAAGAAAAACAAAACTGCATTAAAACATAAAGTAGTGCTTGAAAGTTTGTTTACTCCATAATTTTCTATATTTCTGCATAAATTTGATCTAAAACATGAACAGATTGACACAGTCTGTCCTTTGTCTGTCTTTGTATTTCTGTCTTCCCCTTCTGCTGTTTGTGTTTATTTACATTCTGCTCGTGTCATTCTGTTCCTTGTGCGTTTTGTCTCAGTATTTTCTGTCAGTGTCCACTCACTCCTCAGCCTGCCTGTCCAGCCTCCATCTAATCATTCACACCTGTCCTTAATCAGCCACCTGCCCAGGTGCACTCACACTCCCTCTGTCTTATTTAAAGCTCTCCTCTCCTCCGCTCTGAGTCCGGTCGTTGTTCTGTTCATGCACAGACGACTCAGTCCTTCTCTGCCCGTACCGTTTCTGTCCGTTTGATGATCTGATCTGCTCTGCTCTGTTCTGCTCTGCTCTGCTCTGCTCTGTTCTGTTC